GTGTGTGTGTGTGTGTGTGTGTGTGTGTGTGTGTGTGTGTGTGTGTGTATGGGGGAGGGGAGATTCCTTCTCACACCAGTCAACATTTCCAGAGGTCCATTTCTGAGCGATTCTAGACTCTGCCAAGTTGACAACAGGAACCATATATATTTACCAAGCTGTTCTCAGGAGAGTGGAGCTGGGCACAGGTAAGAAGAAACTTAAACACTAACAACCAGAAGGAGTCTTAGATCGTATCCAGATGTTCTCCTATGCCATGAGCTGAATTTCATCCCAAATGTATACATGGACATCCTAACTGCAACACCATTACAGATAAGGCCACTATGTCTGGTGTTCTTAAGAGAGAGAGAGAGAGAGAGAGAGAGAGAGAGCAGGACACAGGTACACAGAAGAGAGTCCCTTGAAGGCACCGGCTTCCAGTGAAGGTGAGAGGCCCAACAAAGCACTGCTTCTGATTTCGGGTGTCAAGGCTCCAAAAACGGGGTGAAAACAAGCTTCTGTTGTTGAAGGCACCCCGTTTGTAGCGCTTTGTTACTGCAGCCCCAGCAAACTGTAACAGACCCCCCAGACCTTAGCACAACCATCGCCCAGCATATAGGCAGCACCACCTGCCAAAACGAGAACAAAGACCTACTCCACCAAAGTCCATAGCTTTGGGAAAGCCCCTACATGTACCAACCTTGCTTTCTGGCTTTCGCAGTTTCGCTTCTGTCTAACTGCCCTTGATAACTGAGGTATGTTAACCCCAGGGTTCGGTTTTCTGCTGAAAATCTCCCCTTGGGAAAGGCTTGGGGATGCTCTCAGGTCCCAAGCACCCAGTGTGGTGGCTGGCCAGTTAATAAAGCCTTTCTGTTGTCTTGAACCTGCATCCCAGTGGGTTTTCTCTGGTGGCTACCTCATAACGAAACTAAGACAATATCCCAAACAGGTAGAAACTTCAGCCTGGAGTGAAGTAACTTGTCTGTTTTTTAATTGTGTGAATATGTGGGGTGGAGGTAGGGTAGGCACACTAGTTCAGGTACCCACAGAGACCAGAAGAGGGTGATGAGTACCCCAGAGCCAGAGCTGCAGATGAGCAACCGGGAGGTGGGCGCTGAGAACCAAAATCAGGTGGTCTGCAAGAGGAGTGCACGCTCTTAATAGCTGAGCCATCTCTCCAGCCCTCCCTTTCTTTTCAAATACTTTATTTTTTTAATTGATGTGTCTCTCTGTGTGTATGCCATAGGTGTGCACATGCTTTCGAAGGTTGTAAGAGGGCATCGGATTCCTTGGAGATGGAGTTACAGCCATTCAGCATAGGTCCTGGGAATCAAACTTGGGTCCTCTGGGAGAGCAGTCAGCGCTCTTACCCACTGAGCCATCTCTTCAGGCTTAGTTACGTGCTTTCTTAAGTTCCAACAGGCATGAGGCAGAACTAAACAGAGCGAAGGTTTTCTGACTTGTCATTTCCAGAGACTGACAGCAAAGAACAGGGGAGCCCCAGTCCGCAGGATGCAGCAGAGACCCCAGTGCTTGCTCTCCACAGTGGGGTCACAGCAGTAGACGGAGCCAACTAACTAGACAGTTCAGACAGGACAGTTAAGTTCCACACTACTCTGCCTGCTCTGTGAAGAATGGTTTTAGGGGGTGAGAAGCTGGGGACATGGATAGATGCTCCTACAGTAGCGAAGTGAGGGATGACCACAACTTATGCCAAGAAGGAGCAGTGGAGATGGCAGGGGGGGGGGCACTTGGGGATACAGTGTATACACTCACTCTATGGGTGAAAAGACCAAAGCCCAGAGAGGGTACATAGTTACCCTGAGAAAAACCAGTGTTCGTTTTGAGTCTATTTGACCTCTCCACTCTGCCCTTACTTTGGAAAAAAAAAAAAAGCTTTAGAATCCCATCAGGCACTTAAGTAATACTCTAGCTCATTGACTTTACAGCTTTCCGGGCATAATGGTTAACACAAATTGTCAAGTTGGCAAGATCTACAATCACCTAGCAGACAAACCTCTGGGAATGATTGTGAGGGTGAAAAGAGTCACCCTAAATGTAGGAACTATTCCTTTGCTGGCCGGAATACCAGGCCAAAGAAAAAGAAGATGGGGCTAGAGAGATGGCTCAACAGTTAAGAACACTTCCTGCCCAACAGTTAAGAACACCAGGGTTGAGTTCCTAGCATTCACAAATGCCTAAAATGTCATCTCCAGAGGATCTCACCCCCTCCTCTGGTCCTCACAGGCTCCCCCATATACGTGGTATCCACGTACCCACACATAGACATAAATGAAAATAAAATCAATATTTTTTAAAAGATGGAGTGAGCTGAGCGCCAGCATCCATTTTTGGCTGCCTCAAGCTACTGGTGCCATGCCTGGGCTGGGTCTCCTTGAACCGTAAGTTATTATAAAGCCTCTTACATTGTTTCTCACCAGGCATTCGGTCATGGCAATGAGAAAAACAACAACAACAACAACTAATATACCTAGCATGGATAAGTATCCAGGAAGCCATTGGCCAGTCACACAGGACAGGGCTGAGAAGGCCACCATACATTCTCTCGAAGCCGTTGATAGTCACCCTGAGAATCCCCTGTCATTCTCAAAAGCCCTTCAAGTGAGAGGCTGTCGACCTCTCCAGACAAAACACCGACTCTGATTTGAAACAGATTACATTAAAGGGTTACATAAGACACGAAGCAGGCATGTCTGTCTTTTACTACTCTTAGCGACAGAGATATTTTCCGAAAGTGATTGAAGAGCTAGCTGTAAAGGCCACCGATTCTCGCACACCACTGACAATCTAGCAAGATGTTCCTGTAAAGCACCACCCACAGCTGGCTCTGCTTCCAGAGTGGGCTCCAGAACTGGTTAACATGCAGGCCCAGAGGGGACTTTCTGATCACCAGATAAGGGTTATGCACATGCTGTGAGTTTTCATTCAACGGGCCCTGGCATAGGGTGCTGCTCCCTAAAAATGCACGCAGTCACTAATTCATGCCAACATCCTCCTTTGTGCCCCCAAGCGACAAAAGAACACTTGTCTGCATTCTGGTTCTCAGAGACATTACGCTGGTGGACATGGTCCATCAATATAGCACACTGTTCTTGGGGGAAGAAAAAAAAAAAGGAAAGCGCTTCCCACCCACAAATTCGTGCCAATGAAGACATCCCACCCACCTATTTCCTGCACTCATTTAGGACTTTCGATCTTTGTTCTCCAAGCAACTTTTCGAGAAGCTGGATTATAAGTACTGGGTTTCCAGCATAACTGCGCAAGGCATCGAGCTGATGCCCCTGTTGTTAACAGGAGCCAGGTGAATATGAAGGTGCCCCAGTGAGGGCCCCAACATCATCACATTGGAGCTTCCGAGTTAGTATGGCTAAAGCCAAAGACCACGAGATACGAATCCTTCTAAAAATCTACTCTCTGGCTCTGGGCGGCTGGCTGCATTCTGGATCTATCTGACAGCTATTTGTATTTTCCCCCCTGTTAGTTCATAGAAATGTCTTTCCTCCTCTTACCTAATATTTACAATAGCTCCCGAAGCTGCTTTGCAAGCCTGTATTAGTTATTGTGATCCCTGAAATACCTCCGACAGTAAGCACCAGGCTTTTCGGGAGGAAACAATTACTCTATTAATTATGAAAGTTTGCAATTTGGCATTTTGAGTTTATAGCAACAAAGAGCATCAGTATTAAGCTGACAATATTATTTAAAAGAGAAGCTATGTTTTGTTTTGTTTTAGACATAATCATGTACAGCCCGGGATGGCTTCTAACTCACTATGCAGCCAAGGATGACCTTAAACATCTGATCCTCTTGTGTCTACAGTCGTGATTTTGCCAAGATGGAGAATCAAACCCAGGGCTTTGTGCCTAGTAGACAATAACCCTGCAAACTGAGCCACATTCCCAGCCAGAGAAGACACCAAAACAAGAAAAGCTGATTTCCTCAGAAGAGAGTCACAAAACAGAGTAACTTAGTTCATTCCTTAAGCATCTTTCGGCTCTCCAAATTATCTGTGGGGGCATATTAATTTTGTCATAGAAATAGAAGGCCTATTGTTTTTTTAAAAGCATCCCCGCTGATAAGTC